ACAAGTATACTCCACATATGACTTTAGAACGATGTTGTATGTGGCAATCAAAATGATGGCTGGATTTGAGTCATTTGACTTTTGAGTTGATACCAAATGATGCATTGGATAACGAACGCACATGTGAGCCACATGCACTGGATTTGTGGCTAAATTCAATTCAGATGTTTGGAATTCTATCCATGTAACCAACACTAAAGCTACTTAGCGTTGACAATTTGAGAGTAATGCTTTTAGTTGAACGTGGAGTGATATGGAAAGTTGCTGAAATGTCAAATAGCACAAATACTCTATTTTCGTTATATTGAAATTTGAAAATTACTACATAGCTTATTACTTCTTCTATTTAATTTTTTTTTTTTTTGTTTTTTTGTAACATTCTTTTTATTCTTATCAATGCATTATTTTAATGGTTAATATCTTTAATTACCAATACACGTAAAAACTGTAATCATTTGATATCAAAATAATACGAGTATAAATCAAGACCAATCTAACAAGTTCTTATTTGATTTGATTTGTTACTTAATTAAAAAACATGAAAGCTAGTTTAAGAGGAGCATATAAATTTGAGTAGTGTAGAAGTCAATTTGTTACCCAAAAACAAAAAAAAAAAAAAAAAAAAATATTGTGACAGAATAATGGTCAAATAGTTACATTGAGAATACTTTTGTTCTTTTCGCTATTGGTTTTTTTTTTTTTATTTTTTATTTTTAAGTTTGCTCCATATCTCAAATAGTTGAATGTTTGTAACCGATCACTACAGTATTTTTATAAAAACTTGATCACTATTGACATGTATAGAAGTTTTGGCTACAAATAAGCATTTAAAAAAATTTAAATATCGCTCTGTATTTATTGACATAAAACAAGGGTATAGACGAGAGAATATACCCCGTAGCCGTAGTCCGTATTCAAGTAGACAAATACTTTATTGACAGAAAAGTAGACAAATACTGAAATACGAAATCTTTTTAAAAGTGCGTGGGTCCAAAGAATGTTATGACTCAATTAAAATAAAAAAGCCCTGAGTACAGACTACACACACCTGACTCCTGACGCCTTCCTGCTACTATAAAAATATAACGGGATTGCTTTTTTTCCGGAAAAAACATGCTACAATTTCTCATCCTTTTTTTACGCTCCTTATATTTTTCCCAATTTCTAGGGTTTGTTTAATTGTTTTTCCACATTTCCTTCAAAAAAAAAAATTCAGATGATCTCCAATTCAATCGTTCTTCTCCAATTCTAGGGTTAGCAAATTCTTACAATTCATTTGAATTTTGATCGTGATATGGTGATTTTAGGTTTGGTATGACTGAGTTACGAATTACACCATTAATGGAGATCCGAGCTTTGAAATTACGAATCGATTCTTCGAATATGGATTTACTCGCTTGTCGACTCGGCTTCAAATCGTCGTTTGATTCCTATTTGATCGCTTGCGAAGCGTTTTCTGAACCTGCTACATTGCTTTCGATTCCAGTTGAAGAAGTTATTTGATCCTTTGTGTTTTTCTGCTTTCTCTCTCCTCTCAATTTTCTTCTTCTCCTCTTTTCTGTAATGGAATCACTAAAAATTTCTTTGACATCGTCAATTTCTGATCAAATTGACGACATTGTTGAGAGGGACCCCTCCGGCCGATACATTAAGGTATAATTCCTTCATTTCGATTATTTCCTTAATTGATTAGGATAGTAATTTCTGATGTATTCTTTTTGTAATTGTAACCCAAATTGCTTTCATTGATCCAAATTACGTTTTTTGATTTAGATTTATTTGTTTGATTTAAATTAAATTTGCTAAATAAGTTTAATTTAATGCATTTTATGCCATAATTACTCATATTGTTTAATTATTTCGATTGTAATTGCCTATTAGTAGTGAATTTGCAGTTGATATATATATATATATATATATATATATATATATATATATATATATATATATATATATATATATATTAAAATTGTTTTGTTTTGTTTTGGATTATTACACTATTACACGTTTAATCCTTTTCTATTTATTTGTGATGATGTTTTTTTTTTTTTTCTTGTTGTCTCTTGCTCTTCAGTATTCTGAAATCCTGGGGAGGGGAGCATTCAAGACTGTGTATGATTCCTTGCTCAGTCTTTTGATTTTATGTTTTATTCCCGTTCGCTTTCGAATTTTTATTAGTTGAAGTTATACCTAATAGTGATCACTTTCTTTGCTTCGGGTGAAGGGTCGAAAATGTCTTTACTTTTTCCCTAATATTTGTATGTATGTTCGTTGTTATAATAGTTACAAGGCATTTGATGAGGTCAATGGAATGGAGGTTGCTTGGAATCAAGTGGACATTGATGATTTGCTGCAGTTGCCACAACACTTGGAGATGTTGTATTCAGAGGTTCATTTGTTGAGGACTTTGAAACATGTAAATATCATAAAGTTCTACCATTCTTGGGTTGATGATGGTAGTAAGACTATCAACATAATTACCGAGCTATTCACCTCCGGAAACCTTAGACAGTGAGTATTTTTCTGTTGATTCTTTGTTGCGTAGAAATTGTCAACATGGGTGTCCTTTTTTATGCCGTTACTTTAACATCTTGTATTGTTTAGGTATCGTAAAAAACATAAGTCTGTTGATCTGAAAGCTATCAAAAACTGGGCAAGGCAGATCCTCCGGGGTTTACAGTATCTTCACAGTCAGAGTCCTTGCATCATACACAGAGATTTGAAATGTGACAATATCTTTATCAATGGGAACACTGGGGAAGTTAAGATTGGCGATCTGGGTTTGGCAACTGTTATGCAGCAACCTACTGCTCGAAGTTGTATTGGTACCGCCAAGTCCTGCTGTATTTTAAGCTTTTTGTTTCTTGAACAATTCATATAGTTAAAAGTATGTAACCTGTGGGGTCTTTTTGGTGCAGGTACACCTGAATTTATGGCCCCTGAGTTATATGAGGAGGAATACAATGAACTTGTCGACATATATTCTTTTGGTTTGTGTATGCTGGAAATGGTGACTTGTGAATACCCTTATTCTGAATGCAAAATTACAGCTCAAATATTCAAGAAGGTTATCTCGGTAGGTCATCAATTACTTCATACAGCTTGTAAGTGATGGTAATTGCTGATAAATTACCCACGCTGTAACCCCCTCTTTTTTTTCTACATGATTTTTTAGGGTGTTAAGCCAGCAAGCCTTAGCAGAGTGACTAATCTGGAGATTAAGCAGTTCATTGAGAAATGTCTGGTTCCAGCTTCCATGAGACCATCAGCCGAGGATTTGTTGAAGGACCCATTTCTTGTATCCAAAATTCCTGAAGGGCCAAGTCCTCATTCTGTGATGACGAACATGGTTGAACCGGCTTGTTTGACCAGACCTCAAACAGCTCATTCTATGGATATAGACGGTGATGGCAAGAAGAGTGATTTTAGCTGGGAAGCTCCTCGCCATTTGACTTTAATTTTAAATTTCAATGATGTGAAAACCCTCAAGTTAATTGGAGAGGTGGTGGATAACAATTCAATCTCAATGACCCTCGTGTTTACTGGTACAAATGGTACGCTAAAATTCTAGCTTGACCTTTTGTGAGAAGTCTAGTATCTCTTGATGGAAACTGAGTTTATGTTATTTGGATCAGGTCGTTTGAAGAATATTCATTTTATATTCAACCTTCAGAAAGATACCATCATCTCCATTGTGCATGAGATGGTTGAAGAGATTGAAGACTTATCTAGGGAAGATTTGGTTCCCGTAGTGCAATTGATGGAGCAGCTGATTGCAGAACTGGTGCCTCACTCTAGGCAGCCTTCTAATTTCTCACTTACTGATCTCACCAGTTCACTAGAGGAATTATCTGGCTCAAGCAGTGCCCTGGACTCACTAAAGTATCTATCAAAATCTGGAATGCTCAAGGTCTCTACAGAGGTGACTGGAAATGGAGAAGGCCGTGGTGCTGGAGAATCTCTTGTTTCGGGGATATCGGTTGATGAACAATATTCCATGATATGCTCTCATGATCCTGGCTTAAATAGCTGTAAACACTCGAACAGGTATTGGTGGTTGTATTTGTTAGACTTGTTGAATGGCTATGGTGTTTGTGATTTAATTTGTTTTAACTTTATCCTTAAACTTATTCATTGTGATCTGATGCAGTATTGCTTTTGATGGTTTGAGCCCATCAAGTACGGCTTCTTTAACACTGCTAGAGAAAGAGCTATGCAACGAGGAACTGAAGCAGGAGCTTGATGCAATTGAATCCCAATACAGTGAATGCATACGTGAACTCTCGAGGAAAAGGGAGGAGGCAATAGAATATGCCAAGAAGAGGTGGGCTTCTAAGAAGGATGTAGTTGTCTAACTGAAATTGTAGTTTAGGGTTCCTCCATATCTATCTATTGATAGAAAGATAGATCTTTGTCAAATACTGGATTGCCTTTCTTTTTTTTTTTGGAATTCTTCATATCCAAGGCAGCTTACTACAAGCACTCTGCCCCCCATACGACTATATATATATATATATATTCATTCATTCTAGTGTATTGGAAATTTTGATTGCAGATTTATATATGTCCATTTAAAAATTCTGCTAAGCAGTGATTACTTAAATTCATTTAAGTGGTAATGAATTATTATTATTATTATTATTAATTTTTTTTTCCTGGCAGGCTATATAACTTTCTTGTATGCACTTGATCCAGTGAGGCATTCAGAACACTAAATTTTCACCTCACAAATATTGAATAATTGTATATAATGCTGTATTTATTTCTTTATAAAGCTGCTCAGCAAGTAAAAAAGATCTCTGTTTCCTGAAACCTGAACTGAGATCGTCTGGGCAGTTCTGCATGTTCAGATACATATTTTCCAACATGGTAAAAACGTTCAGGATGATATAAAGGCCACAAATACAAAAAGAGGCATGCTTTTTATTTATTTATTTTTTTTTTTTGAAAATTATGCACATCATGCATTATCAACATTAATAGAATCACTGAAAGACACATTGAGGAATGAGGATTAACATTGAATTATTTTAAATCAATTGGTGAAGATGAACATGAAAATTGAGAAGAATCTACAAACTACAACGATTTACTTGTCCCCTCCCCACACAAAATTACACTGAAATGCAGAGAAGAGAGCAATGTAACTTCACAACAAATTGCCAATAAATCTTGACAATTTTACACGTTATAATTATGCGGTTGTCTCCACTATTTTTCTGAACTGATAACTTCATAACCATCAGGATAGTAGACATTGATTCCACAGACTTACATCAACACGCTGGCAGGCAAAGGTAATTTCACAACTACCAATTATCCTTGATAATTTTAGACTTTTCAAGTATGTATTTGCCTTCCTTGTACTTCTGCGATTCTTCATAAGCTCGTTCATACTTCCAACCAAGAACTTCACGGCAATCAGAACAAGAGACATCCGCAACTGTGTGGAGACCTGTCATGAGATGTCTGTCTTCTTTTGGCCCCACATCAACGTTCATAGCATGGGAAAAGAGAAAAGCCCTACTGTTTCTTCCCTGAATTATGATTCAGATAGAGCAGTCAGCACAAAAAACATAGCTGCATCTTGTTATATACAGTATCTGATGTAAAGAACTACAGAGGCATTAAAATTCTTGAAATACATAGTGGAACATGAAACCATGCCCTATTTTATCCTATCCTATCCCCTTGCCAAATTGTCCCATAACAGAGGTGTATTCAGCAGAAGTTAGAACATACTGATGAACTACATAATGAAAATAATATGATGCCAACAGCAACTCTCGAAGGAATTATAAATTTTCATCGCAAATGCACATCTTACTATAGATGGGGAAGTTTGTGAAATTGTAATCAGATGAGGTATTTCCATGCTCAACCATTTACAATATAAATTCATTTTTTAAAATCAATTTCTGAGCAAGAACTTGAACTGTGTTTGCTAGCAGAGGAACCAGGAAGGGAAATTTTTTTTCCCAATTTCCCTGTTCGGATGAGTGAACAATTTTATTGGGTGAGAAAAGAATTCCAAAGGGGTGTTAAGGATTTACCTCAACATGAATGCCACAACTTCCTCTCATACTTACCTACTTCCTAATGCCCTCCCTTCTTTCCCCTTCCTTTCTCATTATTAGCAACCAAACAAAGGAAAATCCTTCCATGGAAGAAATTATTCACGGCAGAAAACTTACCTCGAAACGAAACACGTCCTTAAAATGATTTAAGGCCATAAAAAAAAGCTCAACAGAGATTCTACTAAATAAAAAAAAAATGATGGCAAATACTTATACAACCTTCCAAACAACTTTATGGCCGACAAGGCAGAATAAAATCTCAAACTACACAATGATGTTTAAGGAACATAACAAATACAAATATTATGACATTTTTGGTTCATATCCCTGATTATAGTTGTACTATATAACACACCAATATTAATCAAACAAAGAAAGCAGCTAAGAGCATATAATAATCTATCAATTTCTTCACCTGAAAAGCTTTGGAAATAATATCATCATGAAGTGCAACATTGTTTCGACAATTGCTGCAACAGTAAATCCTCGGACCGATCAATTCCGCCATCAAACCTACAAGAGACCCTCAAATTTCCCATAATTTGGATTATGCACACAACCATGACAATGAGAATCATAAAAATATCCTAAATTATAGATGATCATTCCTAAATCCTTAGGAAAATGCACATGAATTCGCTTACTTTTCGAGTTTTCGAGGGCGGTAAGGCCTAAAGATTGCTTTTGATTAAACTTTCTTTGATCAATGGATTCAATGGCAACTATTGTAGACAGAGCAAGAAATGATCATACATCAGTATTAATATAAAAAGGCTTAATTAATTAAAATGGGACAAAATTATACATTTCAGACATCTCCAATCAACAGAAATAGTACTAATTAAACATCGAATTCCCAATTATGATGAACAAATTCCAAGATTAAAAACCCAATTTTGCAGCTGATCAATTTAATGTTGAGTTTTATGATCGAGAATTAAGTTAAGCTTGATAAAATTGGGATAGTGTGCAATGAAATTTGAAGGGAAAATAAAGACAAACCTTGACAAAAGGAGTTGATCTATGCGAGAAATGAGGGAGAAAATTAGGGTTTAAGATTATATCAATTGTGTTGGGGATAAACACCCAGGAGAAATATAGGGAATGGAAAATTAGTGAATCATCAGAAGATCATAATTTGCCGACAGACGCCTCTTCTACCTCAATGATGCTATGGCCCGACCCATATACAATTAAAATAATATTGGAAATTCAAATGATTTTTGACACTAAGATTGGATTTCAAGATTTAAAAAAATAAAATAAAATAAAATTCAATCTGACTTTAAAAAAGCTTGACAAACCTATAAATTTTTTTTTTTCGGAATTTGGACATGAGATTTGATGTTTAATCCGACCCGACCCAAATTGTTTATCACCTCTAATTTATATGTGGAATTATAAAATAAAATAAAATATTATCACTTGACATGTTAATTGATTTGTCTCAATATTAACTTTCTATTATTAATAAATAAATATTAGCTTTTATTTGTTCAAAAAAAAAAAAATTAGCTTTTATAAATGTGCAAGTCAAGGTAAAACAACTAAGAATATATTAGCGTCTATTCAAAAAAAAAAAAGAGAATATATTAGCGTTTTGCATTTTTATTATTATATGAAGTAATCTGTTAGAAAAAACAACTAAACAAGGTCATATTTTTGTACACGCACATATGCTCTATTTGTATTTCTATGGTACGGAGTACTTTACTTGATAAACATGAAGAAGAAAATTAGGTATCATATACTCATATAGTAGTACTTAGTCTAGTGTTACGGATTGAATCTCACAAGTCACAACCACTATCAGATCAATCCTCTGCATAAAGATAACTTCAGTTGGGAATTCCCTTGCCCTCAATCCACTCGACTCCTATATATTGGCTTGATTTTCTGATTAGGTCAAATTTAAGTATACAAGCTAGGTATGGTCATCTCCTTTTTTATATGTTAATATGAAATATAAAAGAAAAAAAATATATTATCAAATCAAATATGAAGTTTATTTTAATGTGAATGTGTAATATTTATTATTTTTAATATTACACAAGTGAAAATGTGTAGTATTGTGTGATAGTACTAAATTATGTACAATGTCTTATTTGCGTTAAAATTAATATTTAATTATGGCAGTACTAAATAATGTACTTGTGTTTTCACAAAAAAAAATAATAATAAAATAAAATAAAATAAAATAAATGTACTTGTGTTATTAATATTATTGTTGAATATAGTGCTAGCAACTCAGATTCTAGAAGCAAGCTCGTTCCAGAAACTTCCTCCAAAAGATCAGTAGCTGGCAGGTTGTTACAACAACCTGAATTCTATTATGATGTAATAATTAGAGCTAAGATATTATGTTCTAAATATCTATGCTATAAATACTTGTATTCTTCCCATTAATCATTATACAGAAATAAGATCAAAAATTCCCAAAATTCTCTCTCTCTTTGTTCTTCATTTTTCTCTGCTTAGTTCCTCATTTTCTCTGTTTGTAACATGGTATCAGAGCAATACGATACCTGAATTTGTTTCAGAAATTCTTCTTCAACGCATTTTTGATCTTGTTCTTCGATTGAAGTTTCGTTGAAAGATCGACTGATTTTTTCTGCAATTCTCACCTCAGTTTGTAAGTAATTCATTGCTCGTTTTTCGGCATTATTCTCTTCTATTGGAGTTCTTTTATGTTTAAATTGGAGAATATAGATTCATTTGATTTGAGGATTTATTGATTGAATTTGAGGAATATTTCTTGAGGATTTTTTGCTTGTTTACGTGATATTGTTGAAGAAATTTGTTGAGGTATTTTTTGATTCGATTGTGATATTGTTGATATTGAATCTGCAAATTATGGTTGGTAATTCTACACAAAATTTTGATATGTCTTCAGATCCTGCTTCACCATATTATCTTCATCCTAGTGATTCTCAATATAAGCTTGTTCCGATGAAATTTGATGGGAATGCTTACAATGATTGGAAGAGATTTGTTATGATAGGTTTATCTGCGAAAAATAAACTAGGTTTCATTGATGGAACAATTGCTAAACCTGCTGCAACCTCAAGTTTATTCAAAGCCTGGGAGAGGTGCAATTGCACTCTTATTTCCTGGTTTATTCAGGTCCTTGATACTCATATTGCTAGGAGTATTTTGTACTTTGACACTGCTAGAGATATATGGCTTAATCTTGAAGAGCGCTTGGGTCAGTCATCTGGAGCACAGCTCTATTCCATTCAGCAACAACTTGCTGAGATTCATCAAGAAGAAACTGAGAATATTTCTACATTCTACACCAGGATCAAAATGCTTTGGGATGAATTTGATGCTAATGATCCGCTGCCTACTTGTCAATGTACTCAGTGCAACTGCAACATTACCAGAAAAATCCTCAAATCACAGCAAGACCAAAGACTAACTCAATTTCTGATGAAGTTGAAGGAAGAATACAGTCAAGTCAGGGCTAATATTCTGATGCAATATCCTCTTTCTACTATTTCTCATGCTTATCGATTGCTTATGCAAGATGAAAGACACAGAGATGTCTATAATTCTACTCATTCTTCTAACACTGAGGATGCAATGGCTCTTGCTGCATCACATAAAAGAAGATTTTATGAACAGAATATTTCTAGCAGGATTCATAATTCTACTGCAATCACACCTTAGAACAGTCTCAATAGAACTGGTAATTCTATTGGTTATTCTACATCTGGTAATTCTGGATCTAGTGGTGCTAGAGGTCCTTGGAATCAGTATAATCGGAGACCTTCTCCATATTTTTGTGATCATTGTAAGATTACTGGTCATACAATTGACAGATGCTGGAAAGTTCATGGCTATCCTAATTCTTTTCCTTCAAGAGATAATTGGAGGAACAAGAGTGCTGCTGCTCTAGCTCATTCTGATGATCAAACAGCAAAAGTTTCAGAACAAAAGAGTCCTGTGATTACAGCAGAGCAGTATAACAAGCTTTTGTCTCTTTTGGACAAACATATGACTGATGATGCTCCAGATGCCAATACTGGTGCTACAGCTCTTGTTTCAGGTACTCTCTGTTTATTATCTTTTAATAATCAACATTGGATTATAGATAGTGGAGCAACTGATCACATGACACATAATTTGAGTCTATTTGATGAATATTTTCCTACTTCAGGGACAATCACTCTTGGTCATTTTGGGGTCCACATAGAGTAGTTACTCATCATGGTTGTACTTACTTCCTTACTATTGTAGATGACTTCTCAAGATTCACTTGGGTTTTTCTTTTAAAGAATAAATCTGATGTTTCTAAAGTTTTCAGAGAATTTTCTACCTTCATTTTCAATCAGTTTAGTTGCACTATCAAATCTGTCAGAACTGATAACGCTCCTGAGCTTTGTGAAGGAGACATGAAACAGTTTTATATTTCCCATGGCATTTCTCATCAGTTTAGCTGCACTTACACACCACAGCAAAATGGTGTTGTTGAACGCAAACACAAACATCTCTTAGAGACTGCTAGAGCTTTGTATTTTCATTCTAAAGTTTCTAAGAAATTCTGGGGTGATAGTGTTCTCACAGCCACACATTTGATAAATCGTATGCCATTACAGTGTCTCAACTTTTCGTCTCCTTTTGAGATTCTTTTTGGTCACACTCCTAAGCTGGATTACCTCAGAGTCTTTGGGTGTTTATGTTACGTTTCTACTTTGAAACAAGGCAAATCAAAGTTTGAACCCAGGTCAGATCCTTGTGTCTTTTTAGGTTATCCTAGCTCTCAAAAAGGTTATAGGGTACTCAATCTAACCACCAATAAAATCACAGTTTCAAGAGATGTTCTATTCTATGAGAAACATTTCCCTTTTCTTTCTGATTCTCTTTCACCATCTCTCATTTCAAAACAAATTTTCTTACCTCTAAACACACCTCTTCCTGATATTTTCTTTGATGATTTTCCACCATCTCAGATCCTACATGACCCACCTCCACATATTCCTTCTTCTCCTACTCCATCTTCTCATTCTCTTCCTTCTATTTCTACACTTCCTGTCATTTCAGAACCTGATTCTGGTTCTACTTCTGTCAGAAAATCTGATAGAGTCAGATATCCTCCCAAACATCACAAAGATTACATACTCACTGCTCCTAAGAGACATTGGTGCAACATGGTTCTGTTCAGTTCTCTTCCTGCTCCTCACTTGGCTTTCATAGCAGCTCTTGATGATATGATTGAATCTTCTTCTTATGCTGAAGCTTCACAGAGCAATGACTGGATTTTGGCTATGCAAAAGGAGCTTGCAGCCTTAGATTCCAATCACACTTGGGATTTAGTTGACTTACCTAAGGATAAAAAAGCCATTGGTTGCAAATGGGTGTTCAAAATCAAGCTTAAAGCTGATGGTAGTATTGAGAGGTACAAGGCTCGTCTTGTTGCTAAGGGTTACACACAGAAGTTTGGAATTGATTACTCAGAGACTTTCTCTCCGGTGATTAAAATGGCAACCATCAGATGCATTATTGCTCTTGCTGCTTTTCATGGTTGGAATCTTTTTCAACTCGATGTCAATAATGCGTTTTTGCATGGAACTCTTGATGAGGTGGTGTACATGAAAGTACCTGAGGGTGTTCCTAATCCTGCGGGTAAAGTTTGCTTGCTCAGAAAATCTTTGTATGGTCTTAAGCAAGCTTCTCGTCAGTGGTTTGCTAAGCTTCTTACTGAACTTAAGTTCCTTGGTTATTGTCAGTCTCAATGGGATAGCAGCCTTTTCATCAAAAAATCTGGTATTCACACCACTTTGGTTGCTGTTTATGTCGATGATATTATTGTTACAGGGAGTGATTTGGGTGCCATTGATTATTTGAAGATTCATTTACACCAAACTTTCACTATCAAGGACTTAGGAAAGTTAAACTACTTCCTTGGCTTGGAAGTTAGTTATTTGGATTCTGGTATCTCTCTTACTTAGAAGAAGTTTACCAAAGAATTAATTGAAGCTTTTGGTATTTTTGACTTCAAGAAAGCTGTCACTCCCTTACCTATTCATTTGAAGCTTTCAGCAGATGATGGTGTTCTATTATCTGATCCTGAGTACTACAGAAGAATGGTGGGAAAGCTTAATTTTTTGACCAACACCAGGCCTGATTTGGCTTACAGTGTTCAGACTCTGTGTCAGTTTCTTCGGGCACCCAGAACTTCACATTTACATGCTCTGACTCATACATTGCATTATGTTGCTGCAACTGCAGGCAAAGGCATTTTGCTTAATGGTATTGCTACCCCAGTTCTACAGGCATACTCTGATTCTGACTGGGGGTCTTGCCCTGACAGTACACGATCCATTACTGGTTGGGTTGTCATGCTTGGTAGCTCTC